GCGTGGGCCCCCGGCTCCTGGGGACACCGGCGCTGCGGAGCCCGGTGCTGGAGCAGGCAATGGCTCTCGACTTGTGGTGGAGGAGCAGCCCCACGCTCCGGCCGGCAATGGGGAGAGACCGGAGCATCCTCTGCCGCGGCTCCATCGCCTGCCCTGGAGCCGTCCCTCTCCAGAAAGAGGGGGCAGAGCCGCGGAGGGGCTCTTGCCTTTACCGCCCGTGCCGATTCGGGGGCTCCGAAGGGCCCTTGGTCGGACCCCCGTGCCCCCGGCCGTGGCTGCTCTGCTGAGGCAAGGGGCTGAGCGGGGGTTCCTGGAAGCCTGGGGACCCCCGTGTCCCCTGCGAGAGGGGTTGGGGTGCTCCGAGAGCCCCCCCAGCCGGGCACCGGCTCCCTGGCAGCTCGCCGCACCGCGGCCCAGGGTGTCAGCAGTTTCTCCTCTCCCGAGCTGCGAGCAGGCAGCTTTCCTGGGGAGCTCTAATTAATAACCCAGTGACAGATTGCACAGGCTGCGTTTAACCCGAGAATACCGCCAGCAGCAGCAGCCGCTGCCTCCAGGCCCCCGAGCCGCAGTGGGCAGGCGCGGGCAGGGCTGCCTTCCACCTCCGTCCCGGGGGGTTATCTGCAGGGAGGGGGCTGGATGCCACCGCGGAGCTGCGTCTTCTCGGGATCTGGCTCTCGCCCACGGATGCTCGCCCGCATCCCGGGGCGGCTGGGGATGGACCTCAGGGTTTCTGCGCCGTGTGAAGCCCAATCTGGCAGGCAGAGGAGCTCTGCCAGCCTCCAAATGGGTGGCTCTGAGCGCTGCCTGCCTGTATCCTGCCTGCCACAGGCTGCTGCCTGGCATTAATTATGCATTAGCTCTCTATAAAGTATTTATGTCTGCCTGCCGCTCGGCCGCGGCCAGAAGGGTCCCGGGGAAAGGGAACTGGTTCCTCGGTGACTGCGGATGCGCGGCCCGGGTTGCTCCCGGGTTTGCTCCGGGCTCTTTCATTTCAGCAGCTTTTTTTGGGGAGAAGAAATGAAGCTTTCGGTGCGCAGGATGCTCCCGGGGGCTGGAGATCGGGTGGTGCCTGTGCCCGCTGCGGGTGCTTGTGCCGTGGGTGCCGGCCCTGTGCCGTGCCCGGAGGAACCGGGGGGACCCCTCCTGCTGCGGGGCCCCCAGTTTTGGTGGGTGGGAGCACACAAGGCCGTGCGTGAAGTCTTTCCCGACATGTAGATCTGACAATTGTTCATCACATTAATTCACCTGCCGTAGCAGCGAGTGGCCGGCACGATGCCATCCTAAGGATTCGTTATCCCGGGATGTAGCTCGTCACCAGCGGGAGCTGCCGAGGGCTCCCGGCCCCCGCGCCCACCGGGCTCCATCTCCGCCGCCTTGGAGCCGGGCTGAATAAATCCTCTATTTACCTCCCCCTGCGACAAGTCGGGATTTCCTCGGTTAAGGGCTGGTTTTACACCGCCGTCAGTTAATTTATTCTCGTTGCGCTGGAGGTTAGAGAATGGTGTTTAGCCACCGCCGTGTCCAATAAATCCCTTCCGATGTGAAACATGAAGTTAAAACCGCGGCGTGTAAAGTAAAGTATCGTCCCTGGCTTGTTACAGGGAACGGGTCATTTATCTTCGCCTGGCTCGGTGCAGAAGGCGCTCGGAGAGCGATGAGTTTGCTCTTGATTTTCATAATTAATAATTATGAATTACCCATGAAATGCTAAATGGCCCAGCACAAAAATGCCGGCTTATGGCATGAATAAATCAGGCAAAGGGGAGGAAGGGGGGGGCGGTGGGGGATGTTTCTCTGCTTGGTTTTCAGGGCGAGTGTGGTGGGAGCCAGCCGAAATCGGGGGGCGGCGGGAGCCCGCAGTGCTCACCCCCATCCTCGGCCGCGTTGGGAGACCAAAAGCGAAACCCCGAGCCTGGATCTGCCTGGAAAAGCCGCAGCTGGATGCAAAAATCGGCTTTCCGAGGGTGGTGGGGCTGGGGGGGGACGCTCGGCCGGGGATGCCCACCCGGGCAGGGGGATGCGCTGGCGTCTCCCTGCCGCTCTCGAAGGGATGCGCAATTCCAGGGGAAGGAATCAGCAATTTGTACCCGCAGCCCCGCTCCCCTCCAGGGCCGCGGCGGCGGCGATTCCTGCCTTGTCACGTCTATTAGTGGGAAGTGACCCCGGGCTGGGTGCGCGGGAGGAAGAGGAGGGATGCGGAGCTGGCCGGTGGGAGAGGATGAAGAGCGTTTCCTCATCGCTCCCTCCCATCCCGCTGTCGTTTCGTGGCCGGCCCGGGAGCGCGGAACCTGCCGGGAAGCTGAAATCGCCGTATTTGGGGCAGATCGCTGCGGTGAAATGAGTCTTGGAGAAGGAAAAAAATTATTAAATGACCTGGATAAAAACCTAAAAGGAGGGAAAAAAAGCAAAGCGGCTCGGATCCACCGGGTTTTGGAGGAGCTGCGTGGGAGGTGGCAGCGGGCAGGGCAGGGCTGCGGGGCTGTGCCGTGGTGGGATGTGCTCGGCACCGGGCTTTGCCGGCACCGCACGGGTATGGTGGTGGTTCCGGAAGGGCTCGGTGGGCTCATCCCGGCGCCGGCACGTCGCTGCCTCGCTGGTTTGTCCCCAGCCGGGTGACGGCGAGCGGGAAGGGCGCTCCGGCGTCATGCCAAGGCGATGCCGCGCTGCCGGCCCTGCCCCAGCCCCCGCGGTTTTGGGGAAGCCCGGGAGGAGCCTGGGGCGGACGAGCGGTGCTGGCGTCCGTCGGGGCCCTGACGTCTCCCCTCCTCTCTCCCGCAGACCCTCTTCCAGAGCCCCGACGAGGGCTGGCAGGTTTACACCTCGGCGCAAGCCCCCGACGGCAAATGCCTCTGCACGGCCGTCATCCCCGTCCAGGGCACTTGCTCCCGCGACCTGCGCAGCCACCAGCTCCGCCAGCTCATGGAGAAGGTGAGCGTTGGCCGGCCTGCTGCTAATTGGCGTTGCCGGCCCAGCCTGCTAACGAAGTGGTTAATTGGTGGGTGGGAGGATGCCCAGCCTTGCCCGGTAGCGTGGACGTCCGTGGTGGGGGAGCCCCTTCCAGCGTGGGTGCAGCCCGTGGTGGGGTGTGACGGGCTCGTCCCTTCCCTCGGGACCCGCGGCGGCCACGTCCCGGCGAGGACACCCACAGCTCCCTCCTTCCCTGCTGCCGTTTGCCGGTACGAGCATCCTTAACGCTCCTGCATCCCGCATCCTCCTTGCCTGGCCATTAGGTTTGCTGGAAGGGTGTCACGGTGCCGCCACACGTCCGTGGTGCCACCAGCACGTGGCGATGCCCTCGTCGCACGAACCGAGCCCACCACGTGGCCGCAGGGATGAAATCAGCCCGGAGATAAAGCCCAAGCGTGCTTTAGCCTGCAGCCCCAGGAGCCAACCGATGCTTAACGGAGCCCGGGTGGTTTCCCCGTGCGGGACGGGGGACGCGTGGTTTCCCACGGGGGGTCCCACGCTCCCGGCCCCTTCCCCGTGGGCGCTGCAGAAATGCTGGCAGAAGCCGTTAGCCGCCCCCTCCCCGCGGCGGGGAGCTGCGTGCCTGAGCAGAGCTCATTTAATTCCCCCCCCCCCGGTTTTTCCACGTCCGCACGGGCAGGCACGCCGCAAACCCGATTAAACTTTTATTATAACGTGCTGCAAAATCGCCTCTTAAGCAGCTCCCTTCCGAGGCGGCGGCACCGTAAATACCAGCAGGGCTGGTGCTAATAAATAAATAACCGTTTGAGGAACACGGCCGCGCTCACGTCGTTTGAAAGCGTGGAAACAAAATAACTTCGCTGGCTGCGGCAGATGAAATTAAAGAATGAAAGCTCATAGACCGGGCTGGGAAATGTGCGCTCGGATGGTTTAAAAAAACAAATAACAGCTGAAGCAGGATGAGTAAAACGCATTATTTTATACATTAAAGCTGCAGGGGGAAGCGTTTTCTTGCAAGCATTTACATAAACGCCGGTGCGGTGGAGCAGGGAGCCGCTCGTCCTGCGGCTCCCCGGGGAAGGGGATGCCGGGATGGGGTCTCCCAGGGCTGCGGCCCCACCAGCACCCGGTGGCCTGGGGGCTGCTCTCCCTTCCCCATCCCCTCTCTGCCTCCGCACCCCCAGTTTCCCCAGCCCGAGCCCTTCGTTAGCAGCAGAGCTGGTGTTAATCAGAGCGAGGGCTTTAGCACCCCCTCCGCCGTCCCACCACGCAGGTGCAGAACATTTCCCAGTCGATGGAGGTGCTGGACCTCCGGACCTACCGGGACCTCCAGTACGTGCGCAACACCGAGTCCCTGATGAAGGGCTTGGACTCCAGGCTGAAGGTGGCTGCTGAGAGCCAGAAGAGCCTCAACGCCAAGAGCTTCCAGGTGAGCCCGTGCCCCCCGACGCCTCTCGTGCCCCGTGGGACCGGCTGCTGGCTCTGGCAGCCCTCCCCGAGCACGCGGTGCTGCGTGATGCCGCGACACGGGTGGGCACCCTGGGAAGGGATTTGCTTTTGGCGGTCCGGGGGGGCCGAGCATCCCTGTGTCACCTGAGAGTGCAGGGTGGGTGCGCCACGGTGGGCGCGCAGACAAGGTGCAGGGCAAGCGGCCCTGGGGCCACATCCTGCCGCCTCCCCGGGTGCTGCGGGAGGAGCTGTGCTGGTGATGGGGTGAGATGGCCAATTCCCAGCCCATCTGGCTGCGAATCGACACCTTTAATTAAACAAAACACGGCTCTTCCCCGGCAAAGCCACGATTTCCACCTGACGGGTGGCAGCCGCCAGCGCCGCGTGCTGATCGATGCAGGCTGCAAGTCAATGCTGCCCGTGCTGCAGCGGCTCTGCACCCCCAAGAAATCCCATTGCCTGCCCCCCTGCCGGGGCACTGGTTTATTTTGGGAGCCTCAAGGCTTCATCCTGACAGCTGAAGAGTGTTTCTGTCTCGGGAGCGGCCGTTTCTTGGCACTGAGACGGGCCGGAGGATGCTCGGGTGGACGCTGGGCGCTGACAGTTGCAGAGACGAGACATTGATTAAACATCTGAGCTGCAGCAAATGTCTCGGCTGCTTTAATCGCAGCAGGAGGTGCTGAGCCCCGTGCCTGGGATGCAATCCCACCCAGACACGGGAACGCTGGCCCAGTAATGCCGCCCTGAAATGAAAGGCGAGGAGGGAGGAGAGGTGCTGGCGAGCCGGGCTTGTTCCCGGGAAAACCCGCTGAGCCGTGGGACGGGAGCGGGGCTGGGGCCTCGGAGCGGGACGGAGGTGCTGGCTGTGGATTGACAGCGTCCTTGAGCGAAGGAGACGCGCCGGGGTGGCTCGCAGCCAGGGCCAGCTCGCCGCCGTGCTTCCCCCGCCCCGCTGCCCTGCCACGCCGGGGCGGTGGCTGGCCCAAGCCTGCCGGGATCACGCATGGCTCCCGGGGCCCGAGCGTCCCCGCGGCGTGCAGGGTGCTGGGTGCCCACGCACCCGGTGCCTGGAGCCATCACCCATCCCTGGCTCGCTCTCCCCACCCCATACTCGCACCCCGTTCCCGCGTCGGCTGTCGGGGACCCGCTCAGCCTTCCCGTGCCGGACGGTTGAAGCCTTTGCCTGGGTGCTTCCAGGCCAAGGTCAAAACACCTCTGAACGTTCTCCTCGCACTAAAATAAGCGGAGATTTTTAAACCCTGGACCTGGCCTATAACTCTGCCTGGGGGGCAGCACGGTCACTGCGCCGTCCTGCATCCCTCCTGCGTAGAGCATCGCTCCGTGCCCAGTCACCCCGCTGCTCCTGGCGTGGGTGCTCCCGCGGCGGGGCCGGATCCTGCCTGGTTCCCGCGCCGCGGAGCGAGGCGATAGCATCGGCCGCGGGTGATTCATTAGCTACCGCTCCCCGAGCGCTTGGAAGATGCAAAGCCCTGTAATTGTTATTAATTACCAGCCCAGGGAATAGGGCTCGTCTCTGATGTGTTAACGAGGCTGCGCTCCGCAATCCCTGCCGCTGCCGGAAAGCTCCTTGCTAACCCCGGAGGGACGGACAGACGGACAGCAGGCATGGGGGCAAGCACCGCCAGGCTTAATTTAAGGGGGGGTTGATTATTTTTTCCCCTTAAACAGGAGCTCAAGGACAAGATGACGGAGCTGCTGCCTCTGATGCCCGTCCTGGACCAGTACAAGTCGGACACGAGGCTGATCGTGCACCTGAAGGAGGAGGTGAGGAACCTCTCCGGGAGCTTGCTGGCCATCCAGGAGGAGATGGGCGCCTACGACTACGAGGAGCTGCAGCAGCGGGTGCTGATGCTGGAGGCACGGCTGCACGCCTGCATGCAAAAACTGGGTATGGTGTCATCCCCCCCCCCCCCCCCTCCGCTCCGGGGGGGGGGGGGAC